GACGTGTTGAAACTTTTGAGGTTTTGTGCTTTTGTTTAGTATATTATTGATGGGGCTTCACTTTTAAACTTTAAATTTAATACTCTCCTGCCCATTAATCGGTAGAATCATATATAGCAAGTAGTAATTGGTAAGAAAGAAAATGTTATATACATATATGTCATCTCAACAATTGTCCACTTCTTATACTTAACTTCACAAGTAAACTATTGGGTTACCAGTCATTCACTATACATCTCTCCGTCACCTTGTCTTCTCAACACCATCTTACTGCACTTCCTCATCGATATGTGGAGTAACATTGTAGTACAACATGCACCTATTTTTTCCTGAACAACCTGAACATTCCATTTCTAAGCTTGTTGAAACTGTCTCTCCCTCATATTCAGAAATGCACTTAATCACTATTCTTTACTTCTAAAATCAACATAAATTCCTTTTCCATCTTATCTTGCATAGCAATCTCATACTGATCCACAAATTGTTTAAACGTGCTCATCAAATTCAGGTACCCATCAAGATATGCATGCATGCCCTCACTCCTTTGAGTTGATACCATTTGGCCCAGAATATATTTTTCAAATAGATTGGCACCCAATTCGCCTTTCCCTAAAAAGCTTCGACAACATTCATTTTCCTATAGCCCATGACTCTCCACTAACCCATTCCAATTTCTCTTGAACATCTCAACAATTAAGTTGTCATATATGACAATTTAAACTCACGAACTATAGTACCATAGTCTGCAACACTCTTAAACTTCTCTGGGACTTTACATAGAATATGCCACAAGCAAAATCATGAAAAGTATTAGGCATGACTTCTAAGATGACTTTCTTGATACTTTCGCATTGATCAGTCTTATGGCTTTGATTGAACATCTCCCATTTTGACAGCCAACAAGTGAATAACCATTTAAAAGTATCAACATCCTCATGTGAAAGCAAGGCACAACCTAGTAGAATAGATTGTCCATGGTGGTTGATGCCCACAAATGTTCAAATGGAATTTTGTACCAGTTCACTAAGTATGTTATGTCGAAGCTAACAACATCATTGAACTCCTTGTTAGCAGCTTTGGAACGAGGACGAATACAAATGACACTGGACAACCTAGAATCACTGTCAGCATCAATCAATGAAAAAAAATCTATATCCCTTGTTGCATCCACAAGAAGAATTGGTGGATTGACTCAACATCACCTCACTAAGTCTCGGCCTCTTTTTTTTTTCAATGAAATTTTGACAATGCTTTGGCAAACATGTTAGATTCTTTGGCCCACCAAATTGACTTTAAGCAACCCAATGCTTTGCAAGGCCTAATCCTAGCTATCATTAGCCTCTAGATTTTCCTCCACTCAGGATTCAAATTCTTGTGCCTTGCCATGAGCCTACACATTGAGGGATCCAAATCATGATTGTGATTTGTCTGAACTTTTGTAACTTGCCACTTGCCATTAGATCTTAGAACCCGCGCTTAACCTAGCAAAGACAATTTATCCTCTTTGAGGACTTCTCAATATGTCTTCCTCCTTTGTCACAATTAATAACTGATCTTCGATCACTATTCCTCCCCTTACATGCTAATTTCTTCGCAATAGCAAAGTTTTATATTTTGCATGCTCTTTATATGCCTTAAAGAGATTCCAAGCTATGAAAAAACATACCTGTCTAAGGACCGTTCAACAGTCGCTTATGTTTATTAGTACTTGTTTAGGTATCCGAATTTACAACTTCATTGCCATGGGTCACTCCACCCTCGTTCATCATAGGTAATTGAGTTGTCATCTTCATTGTTGCCGAAAATTCTTCCAATATTGTGTTTTGCTCTTTGGATCCATAGTTTCCTTTCAAATTGAACAATGAATAAGCTTTTTTCAACATGAAATTAGTTGTCTAAATTATTGATTCTTACATTACAAAACAAACTTCATGATTTCTCTTAAAATAAACCAATTTCAATACAACTTCTCTACTGCTAAATGTTTACATGTCCACTATTTTTGTCTTAAATTCTTTCTTCCTCTTTAAATCTCAAATTCTCAATACTAGATTTTTATTCGTATAACTATTAATGAAATTAAACATAAATCAACTTAATTAAACTGTATAACCTTGGATCAGTAATTTAATCAATAATTGTGTTTTTTTCTCAAAGAAAAAGAATAAGGCAAAAGTGAAATTATAAATAAGAAGATGGAATATGAGATAAGTCAGAAGGGAAATTTATTACAATGGAGTTGATTATTAGTCATAAAATATTACATTTAACTCGCCGATGTTGTAAGAATATGAAATTGTGTTATTAATAGAAAACAATAAAAATATACAAAGACCATAGAACAAATAAACGGAATTAGAGAACTGATCCAGCTTGTTGAGCCAAAGCAATTTAAAGAAAAGCTAAGATATTAATATATAATATAAATATATTATATATATATATATATGTTTGTTGTTTCAATCCAATGCTCTACCATTTCAAATATTATTCTTCAACAAAAACTGAATTACTATCCATCGTCCCAACTTTCCTTCTCAAAATATTCACTACAAACATGAAAACAAGTATTGGATAACAATAATATCTCTTATTCTTCGTCGAAACTCTTAGGTTTTCAAATGTGAACATTTTTTATCCAGCTTTCTCTATTTTATCACAATATGAACTATCATTTTTTATCCAGCTATCTCTATTTTATCACAGTATGAACTAACATTTTTTATCCAGCTATCTCTATTTTATCAATATACATAAAACATTCTAATCAATATACATAAACATTTTTTTATCATGTTCTCTCTATTTTATCAATATTTAGATCAATCTACAGAATACATTCAGATCAACATACATAAAACATTGATATGCGAAAAACATTTTTTATACAACTCTCTCTTGTTTATCTACACAACATTCAGATCAATATACATAAAACATTTTTTATCCAACTTTCTCTTTTTTATCTACACAACAATCAAATCAATATACATAAGACATTTTTTTTATCTAGCTCTATCTATTTTATCCACACAACATTTAGATCAATTACAGAAAACATTTTTTTATCTAACAACTATTTCATCATAATAAGAACTAGCATATTCATTTGTTGGTGAAAATGAGATAAAACAGTGTGCCTTTGTATGAAACTGTGTTGAAAATCAATGCATTTCACTTTCGGTGCTCCTCATAAGGGATTACAATTGAAAATGGTTCTGACACAAGGAAAAAAGCATGCACAATCTCGGTCATCGTCCACATCTATGCATTTCTACCAAGCTAATCATCATATTGCTTAGACTATCTTTACATTGTCTATACCTTATTTATATCGTACCAACACCTGTAAAATTATTAACTCTATTTCTTTCAATGTTCATAGTTCATTGCACCCATCTATTCATATACTCGTATCTCCAAAACTTGTAGCTTCATTCATCTCATTTTTTCCACCTTTTATTGTAATGAGCTGCCACTGAAGCTTACCTCCTTTTTTTTTTTTTTTTTTTTTTTTTTTTTTTTTTTTTTTAAATGTGGTGAAGATGAAGAGCAAGATGTAGAAGAGGAAAGAGTTTACATGTTTTGTTTTGTTTTTTTTTTTTAAAGAATTTTAATTATTACAATAAATTAATTTCATCTTTCCAACTTCTATTCTTGAAAATATTGATGTAATCATTACTTCTCTCTTATCATTCCATAATGTTAATTGAGGAAATTGTTTTCCCTCTAAAAGGCAAGGTTTAGAAGCCGAAAATAAATTTATTTTACTAAAGGGCAAATTTGTAAATTCACCTTCCCAAAAAAGTTTTTGATCAGGATCAACTGATCCAAATAGCATTGTCCTATATATAATAAAAATCATAATACTAATCTTGCAAAGATAAAATCTAAGGGTCCGTTTGACACACTTTTACTATCTTATCCTATTCATCATCCTATCCTAAAAACCAAAAAATGCATTTGGTTTAAAATTCTCAAAATCTAATCCTATTCAGTTCAATTCAAAATATTTAGATTATTTTTAACCCTCTAGATTTGTTAATTTAACTAAACACCCTCAAAAATAAAAGTTTATAAATTGACAAAAACACCCCCACCCACCCACATATTGTCGGCAGCCAACCATTATCGCCGATAGGTGGTCGGAATCTATCGGAATGGTGCACGACAGGCTGGATTTGGCTAGTCGTGCACTGATTTGGCCTTTTTCGACCAGATCTATCATGAATCTAGCTGGAAAATGCTAAATTTAAGGCCAGATTTGGCCACATCTGGCCATTGACGACAGCCATAACTTGGCCGTCGTTGACAGCCAAGATAACGACGGCCAAATATGTGGCCTATTTGGTCAAAAAAAGTCAAATCAGTGCACGATCGGTCAGATCCATCCAGTCATGTGCTATTTTGGTAGATTTCGGTCACCTTCTGACGGTAATGGCTGACTGTCAGCCATAAGTGGGTGGGTGGGGATGTTTTTGTCAATCTATAAACTTGTATTATTGAGGATGTTTAATTAAATTAACAAACTTAGAAGGTTAAAAATCATCTAAATATTTTTAGTAAGTACTATTAAAAAATATAAAAAAACTTCCCATAATCCTATCATACTTTCCAAAAATGCTAAATAGCATAGAATGTTATTCTAATTACATTTGTAATGCAAGTTGCAAGGTGGCCCCATGAATGAAAACCAAATGCTATTATGTGAGTAAAAAGAACGAGTAATGCTACATTTACACCATCCATAACATCATTTTCATTACACAATCACCATTTTACTAATAATTATTTTATTATAATATTAAAAATTAAAAATAATTAAAAATTTATATAAATATAAGATATACCATATTATGGTATAATGAAAATGATATAATAGAGGGTGTAAATATAGTATTACTAAAAAAGAAATGGCCCAAAAACACGAAGCCACTGGCGCAAGATGTTGATCACCCCGGCGGGCACCCACAGTTAATTTATAACCCACAAAACAGAGGGCAGAGGCTGTGTCTGGTCAGAAACTCAACCTCATACCAGGGCGAATATCTCGAAAAGTTCTCGAAGTGATAACTGACACGTGTCCTTTTACCTCGATCCACAAAACCCTCGCTCATATCCATACTGTTGTCCTCTCTTTCCGTTAAAGTCCCCCTCTCTTCTCCTTCTCTCTTCTTAAATTAATAAATACAATCAATCCACTTTGCCTTCTGTGATATCCACAACTCTAATCTCCTTCTTCACTTCAGATCTCACTCTCACTTCATCAACTTATCAACATGTACCATATCTATTGACTCTTGAGTTTTTCTGTTTAATTAATTAATGTTCCACCCATTTATGTTGACGCACGTTCGCTCTCAAATCTGGTTGCGCAAGAGGAAAAGGTTAAAATCCAACAATACCCTTATCTGAATTTGTTTATTTACCACTTTTTATCATACTCGTACATCAAATCTTCAATCTTTATTTTTCTTCTATATTTTTATAATATTTTTCAAGGTTCTGCTGCCTATGGTTAGTTGTTGGTTAATTTCTTGCTTTCATACTGATTAGTACTTGGAATTGTATAGCGAGTTACAGTTAATTAGATTAAGGCACTGTTGGGTGGGTTTAGTTGATTTAGTTGGCTTTGTAAACCTATATTAGGAGTTTGAGTTGGGGCAAGGAGAAGGTTAAAGTTTGGGTTTGTTTTGAGGATCAATAGAGAGTGAAGTTTGGTGATTGGTGTCAAAAGTGGCGAAAATGAGTTTGGGCACTGCCGAGGATGATTCGGCATCAGAGATTCATATACCAGCGGATATAGATTGGCATATGCTTGATAAATCTAAATTCTTCTTTTTGGGTGCGGCTTTGTTTTCTGGTGTTTCTGCTGCTCTTTATCCGGTCGTTGTGTTAAAAACCCGTCAGCAGGTATCACATACTCCAGTTTCGTGCTTCAAAATGTCATATACCATTATGCGTTATGAAGGTTTTAGAGGTTTCTACAGAGGATTTGGTACCTCTTTGATGGGAACAATTCCAGCTCGTGCACTTTACATGACGGCACTTGAGGTTACCAAGAGTAATGTTGGGACTGCAACTGTTAGATTAGGATTTTCAGATACTACAGCCACTGCTATAGCTAATGCTGCAGCCGGGTTGAGTTCAGCTATGGCTGCACAGCTGGTTTGGACCCCAATTGATGTTGTGAGTCAAAGATTAATGGTTCAAGGATGCAACAATAACAGTAGCAAGAACATAGTCCCTAATATAAGTTCTTGTAGATATAGTAATGGTCTTGATGCATTTAGGAAAATCTTGGTTGCGGATGGTCCAAGAGGATTATATAGGGGATTTGGGATATCAATACTGACATATGCACCATCTAATGCAGTTTGGTGGGCGTCTTACTCTGTGTCACATAGGCTCATATGGAGTGGTTTCGGTTGCTATATGAGTAAAAAGGATGAAAGTTCTTCGAGTAATGGGTGTTGTTACAGGCCTAGTTCAAAGGCAGCAGTGGCAGTGCAGGGTTTAAGTGCGGCCATGGCTAGTGGTGTATCAGCTATAATTACTATGCCACTTGATACAATCAAGACAAGATTACAGGTTTTGGATGGAGAAGAAAATGGGCAAAGAAGGCCACTGACTATCCTGCAGACAGTTCGAAATTTGGTGAAGGAAGGAGGATTGGCAGCTTGTTACAGGGGATTGGGGCCTAGATGGGCTTCAATGTCTATGTCTGCAACCACCATGATCACTACATACGAGTTTTTGAAACGACTTTCTGCTAAGAGCCAATAGCACTAGACATCATAACAAGAGTAGCCACAAGAAACATAAATTTGCCCATCTATGAGCCCTGTAGTTTTTGTTTCTGGGTGATTATTGTAAATTCCCTGTTTTGTTTCCCCTTTGTTGTTTTCTTGATCATGTTGGAGATCACTGGAAATCAATGTAAACTTGTACAGTAGTAGCCGGATGCCACTATTTCCCTATCTGTAATAATGTACTTTTCAACGCTCATCTATGTCCATACTGTACAAGTATGATGTTAACGGTTAACAAGTTTTAATTTTATGTGTGTGACTTGTTCTGCATCGAGGGCTGTGAGTCACTGTTATCAATTTTCACTTGGTAATTTGTTATTATTGCATAATATCTCACTATGGCTTAAAGGGAGACAAACTTGGGTTCTTGTCTCTTTGCAATATAATTAAGTTTATACAATGAAAGATGGTAAAGTCAGATCGTAGAAAGGGCAAATCCGCTCCGCCCCTTCTCTCTTCTCCAAAGCCAAGCAGAGAAGAACTTTTTTAACTTTGAGCCACTTTTAAGTTGGAAGGTTCCAAATTCCAATAACCCAAATCTTTAAAGAATCAAAGTCAAACAACTTGTTTGCCCACTATGTTTTACATGCAGAAGAATTCGAGTGGAATCGTTACTTGTTCTTAGAATACCATTAAACTACAAAGAGTGAAGTAGCATTATATTTAAATCTTTGAAAACACACTGTTGGAATTTGTAAGTCCTGTTACAATCATATCAGGCATTCATTTGGTCTGCTTTTCACTACAGGACGATCAAAAGAAAACCAAACGAGCACATAGGGAAAAATAAAGCACATGGACATTTGACAGTCGTTGCTCTCCAACATGGACTGTCCACTGACACCCAATTTTTAACATTCAAACTTGACCTCAAATTACCGCAAGTTCAAAACAAATGTTAAAGTGCCTTGATTTATATGTAAATAGATTGGAAAACTAAAACAAATTTCCAGAATGGGCATAAATTGCATATAAACATAAGAAAATTCTGACATAATAAACAAGTTTTCCTCCAATGGCTGGGGAAGGGCAAGATAATTCCCCTCTTGACCAGAAGTACTCTAATTTTTGATCTAATAAACAGAAAATTTCCACTCTACACAATATCCCAGATGGAGACCCTAGAAATGCCTGACTAAGAACAAACCTAACTTACAAACCTACTAGCAGTTAGAAGCCCCGTAATTCCAGAATACACACAGCCAGTGGCCCAGCAAATCATCAAGGCCGTGCTCTCTTGTTGCTGCTACAAGATGGACATTTGTAATGTTTAATATGCTCAGCCCTTGCCGGGGTCATCTTAACACACTTTCCATGGAACCATTTCTCACAGGCGTCACAGCAAATCCAGAATTCATCAGCTGCATAGTTCTCTCCACAAGCCCCACAGAGTGTATCCCCATGCTCCTCATCATCTTCCTCTTCTAGACCTTCCTCATCCTCATCCTTGGCTTGCATCACCTTTGTATACTTGGGCTGAGATTCTGAGCCTCTCTGCATATGGCAATACAAAAAGATAATTAAGTTTCAAAAGTATTCTTTCTGAAGAACAAAAGACACAAACGTGGAGAACCATTTCCTCCAACTAATAGGCTTACTTTCCCACCTTAAAGCCAAAACGCACCCATAATATCCTATAAAATAATTTTTAATACGTACTATAGACCAATCAGTTAGCTTTAATCAACCCATGCCAACATCAAAATCGGTAACATACAAATAAGTACAATAAACAACTATGGTACTGATACACTAGGCCAACGGAAGTCCTTCTATACCTTCGGGTTTGATTTAGATTTGTTGCTGCTGTGATTTGAGACTGAAGATTTTTCCTTTACCTGTTGTTTCTTGGCTGTCCCTGTCACAATCTCAAATATTGTTGGAAGATCATTTATCATATTAAAAAGCCGTTTCCTGCACCAAATATGTCAACAAAATAACATTAAGGAAATAATAAAGGTCAATAATACAAACCACCTATTAACAAGTTCACACACACACGAAATGTTGCCAGAAAAGTGATATTTAGTATTTACAGGTTACAGCCATTATCAGAAAACTTCAAAGAAAACAATTTAAGACTAACTTCTAATACCCTTATTCCAGACACTACAGATTTAAATAAATGAAAAATAAAATAAAAAATATGCTACTGACTATCTACTAGGGAGTCAACATGAAAGCTACAATTCATTCTAATATTAATAGTTAGAAAATTTAAAATATAGGCTAATCAGTTTAAAGCTTTGAATAGTCTTATCCCAAGAAATTGTATAATGATAAAATCTTGAGACAAATTGTTCCATAAAACAGGAAAAAAGTCTCTGGACAAGACCAGTAATCCAAACCAAATTATTCTAGTCCCATTAATAAGACTTGTCCAATTTTAGTCCAACCTTTCAAAAAAAGTTTTAAGGTCCAAATGTTGTTTATTGGTCAAATTTGGCTATTCAAGGTTTCCTTAGCCAAAAGTATATCTTCTACTGCTCAAGAACTAAAACATATTTCAAATCTAGCATTTAATTCACCAATCAGCATAAACATGCCACAAAAAGAGACAAGAGCATAAAACCAAAAATAAATTTTCTGAAGTATAAATTAAGTAATTTGTCAATTGGGAGTTCTAAAACATTGAAAACTAGGACATAATAGTTTTAACAGAAATCAATAAATCACATAAGAAAATAAGTATAGTTATCAATGGTAGGCACTTTTTGTGAGTTTAGGGGAAAGAGAATAGAAAGTGATATAAGCACCCTGAAAGAGGTGCAACCAACACCAAACTACCATCAAAATTCAAACTCATTCACACTTTTACAAAGCCAAATAACATATTCATAATTTTCCATAGAGAAATGCTTACCTATCAGCTTTATCAAACCCAAACCTAGCACCAAAGTAGAAGGCCACAGAAAGTAGCCAAGCATCACTGTGGACAGCAACCAAGGACAACCAATCCTTTTCTTGCATCCCATCTCTGGCAAAGTTTATACCCAGTGCAGGCTCTGGAAGCTCTGGAGGCACCTCTTCAGCAGGTAAATTCACCTCCCACTGCTCACTGGGAAATCCATACAGGCAAAGATTTTCCTTCTCTGTGATTAAAAAAAAAAAAAAAAAAAAAAAGAATCAAATTTATGAGAAAACATGATATTTGGATGGTATACAAAGACTACGAAAGTAGTTCAGGGTAATATACAAGTTTATAAACTATGATGAATTAAACAGAAAAGTTTGGCAGTAACTGTTTCTTTCTTGAAAGACAAATAAGATAAGGGAAACCCCAAAGAAAAAGACAAAGATGTATCAGCAATTATAATGCATTAGAATTCGACGATTATGAAGGAAGTCATAACAAGGAAAGAAACCACATTTGAACTTCCAAACTAGAACTCACAAGGGTCATCTAATTTCAAAGTTATCAAGCCAATCACTTCAAAAGAACCACCAAAGCTGTTCAGACGGTTGCAACATAGACGCAACGCAGATCCTTAGAAGAGTTGGTCAGATGGAACAATCAGTAAAATGCAGGCAATCTACCCATGATCAAAATTCATCTACACAGAATGAAAAACTGGCAGACCCTTTCTGTAATGTCCACCTCTGAAAAGTGATATTCACACTTATTCCCTCCCGACTCTCATTTTTCATCTTTGACCATGCACCAAACTATGAAACCTGTATTTCTAAAACTCCTAAATATTTTAAATGATTTTAGTACAATATACAAACTATCATAAACGAACCTTTGATTAAATTACCAACTGTCTAATGGAACCGACCAATTCCTAGTTGACTAATAACAAATAAACAACTCCGCTCACATTTATTTCTCTACTTCCATTTTTATAGGAAATCTGAAACATATTAAGTATTAACTTCTTCACTCTATTCATCCACAGTACAAGATCTCTTGCTTAGTGCCTCTTCATTAGATAAGCTTCGCAAAGTTCCAATATTCGCTAGCAAAATAAAATATGTGCATCAGAAAGAACATAAGTCAATCTTCTAGAAACATCAAGCGTTGAATGAATTCAGTTTTGTTTAATAGGTAAAATTACGTTTGGCATAAAGATCCCACCATAATTTCTCTGCAGGTAATTCCATAAAATCAAATTAAATAACAAATTAAAGCATATAACTAATAAGAATTTCAAAACCCAAGTGAGAATACTAATTAAATTCGTGTTAATACGTGAAAGAAGTAAAATTCCAGTTAACCAAAAATATTAGCCAACACGAATATAACACTTCCCTTAGTATATACCAAAACGACATGAATCCAAACGACATGCATGCATTACACACACAAAACAATTCTCCCGGTTAATCTGTTTGGTTGCAGAGAACACTGCGCCTTAACAATAGGCAACGAAAAATTAAATTAAATTAAATCAAAGATTTGTTTCCTCTATCTACCTAAAACAAATAAAAAACAAACACATATTAAGGGAAAAAAATGGTTTTAGAAGAGAAAAACGCTTACCAGGGTCACACTGCTGGTAGAACTCTTCAACATCTACAACAAAAACAAATCTCCATAAAAAGACAGAGAGAGAAAGAGCCAGAGAGCGGAGCATGAAATAAAAAAAAAAGACAAAAAAAAAAAAAAAAAAAAAAATTACCAGAAGTAAGGGCTTTAATCATGCCAGCTCGTCGGCCTTTGAAATCTCGAAAGACTTCTTCCACCGTACGTGGATTGTAAGCAGCGGCTGCGTCCATCGCCCAATCAACTCCAAAGTTTAGTCTTCTCCTTCTGTACAAAAGAGAGTGCGAGAGTAAAGGAGGGAAAGATGTGAATATTTTTTTACTGTGTGAGAGAGAGAGAGAGAGAGAGAGAGAGAGAGAGAGAGGGTGGTGTGTGGATTTGAATCGGAACGAAAGTGAATTAATTAACGGGATTTTATAAATATGGCAAGAATCCGTGATTCTATGGGATTCGGTTTCGGCCCAATTACTATCCAAATTCATAAAAATAAAAATAAAGTGTTAATTTCATAACACAGTTTAATTAACGTTGGGTTAAACAAGATTAATAATTAGAAATTTGTATCTTAATTGAAGTAGAAAAGATGAATTTGAGGAGCGATGATGTGAGCCAAGAAGTAGTGGGTTGCACAGCATGTATGATGCGACCTGGGGGACTTTGCCATCCAGATCTTCCCACGTCCTCGATCATGTGGGCCACAGTTCGTGTGAAAACGAACCATATATATGAAGAGATATTGTGATAAGAGGACACGTGTTTTCGAGCCTCTACTTAGAGAATAAAATTTCAAACACGCTCTAGATGTTGAAATTAAGCAAATCTCTTCTATGCTGGCAAAGCAAAAGCTTACTGCGTATCAGGCTTCTATCATTTGGTAACATCATAGCACCTGCATTGACATGACATAAAGAACAAAGCTCCATTCTGAGAAATTTGTTTGTCATGAAATTAGCTAATGTTGGAAATGCTTGTGATATCGGAATCAACATGGTCAAAGCACTGCCATTGATCATCAAAAGATGAATGGAACTGTACAAGTTTATTTACAGGACAAAAACTTGTATTTGCAACACTGACTACATACCTTGCAGCCATGAGTTCTACTCCAACTCCCAGGTTAATGGACACAAAACTTAAAAGCAATATCAGATTCCACACTGCTGTTAATGAAAACAAAAAAATTGTTACACAATTGTTAATAAGATTTATATTTTTTGTAATCGTCAAGAATTCTGTCCATATTCATTACGAATCCCTTGCATAATACATATTTGCTCATCTAAGATCCTTCTGTAATTATCCTTATCATCTACAGGACATCTGACGCACATTTCAAAAAGTGTTTCAGCTTCAGTAAATTTCATCTTTGCACACAACTCCTTGAAAAGAATTGAAATGCTCTCCAGATTGATTACAAATTTCTTGCTGACCATTTCATATGCAATTCGCATTGCCGCTTCCAAGTTACCATCCTCACAATATCCTTTTAGCAAGCAACTATACATGGTGGCATCAATGTTGTGACCACTTCTAAACATGGCATCAAGAAGCCCTTCAACTTCTTGCATCCGACCTTTAGCCATACAAAGACCACATATTATTGTGCTATATGAGATGAAATTAGGCGGGCAACCCATTTTAGGCATCTTATTTAGAAGTAAAATAGCTCTATCAAGCTCCTCATTTCCCACAAGAATCCTAAACACATCATTGAAACTTGAAACATTCGGCTTGATGCCTCCTGCTTGCATTTCCTTCAAGAGCGATATGGCTTCATCCGATTTCCCCATTTTGCAATAGCCATTAATAACAACCCGATATGATATCACATCCGGCTTCATATTAGACTTAGTCATGTGCTTAAGATATATACCAGCCTGCTCTAACTTCCCCACAATGCAAAGCCCCTTTAATATACTGTTGTGAGTGGAAATATTATCCTTCAATCCATCTAATCTCATCTTTGTAACCATAATCTTCGCCTGAGTGACATATCCTCTCAAACTCAGACCATAAATCAACGCATTATATGTCAACACATTTGGCTGGCAACCCCTTCTCACCATCTCATCCATAAACTTCATTGCCTCTTCTAACTCACCACTCTTACAATACCCATCAATCAAAGTAGTATAAGTAACCGTGTCAGGCAAGCAATCTTCACTCGTCATCATCCGATTCAAAATCGATCCTGCACTCTTCATATCACCTTTTTTACAGAACCCATTCATCATAGTATTATAAGTAACTAAATTAGGCTCAACCATCATTTCATCAAACACCTTTCTAGCATTTTCTATCATACCCATTTTACAATATCCCCTAATCATCGTTGTATAAGTTGAAACATCAGGTTGCACCATATTATCCTTAAACATTTGATCAAAAAAAGCCTCAGCTAATTTCATCCGATTTCCTCTAACCAAAACCCCCAATATTGAATTGTATGAAAACAAACACTTCCCATTTTCAATGCTTTTAGCTTGGTTAAACCAAAAGATTGCAGCTTTAAAATTGCCGCAATCACCATAAGCTTTGATGATTTTACCAATGAAGAAATCAGAGAGCTTACTAGATTGTTGAAGGAGTGAAGTGGCTGTGGACAAGAGGGAGTGAGAGAGCAAAGTGTCAATGATGGCTTTATAGCATAAGTGAGAATGGGTATAATTGTTGGGGTTAGGGTTAGGATCTGCCGCCCAGTTGAAGAAGAAAAGAGCATGAAATGGGTTGGTTTGGTTTTGGATGACTTTGATGACTAGCTTACTGTCTAGGTGATGGGAGAATTGGTTAAGAGAGTTTGAAGTGAAATTTTTGAAGTTATGGTTTTGTGGGTTTAGGTGTTGGAGAAGGGAAGTTATGGCGGCGACCAGCGGTCTTCTGTCTGGGGTGTAAAATGCGTTGTTTAGGGTTGGGGATCCAGACGGCATAGCTAGTTTAGATGGTTCGCTGGAGCTTTTGCCAACTGAAAATGTTTCTATTTCATTAATCATTTGGGTCTTTTATAAATAGGCAGGAAGAAATTAATAATAACATAATACAATTTTCTCATTAAAATAGTCACATTAATAATAAACAACAGGCTCACTTAGTTGTAATTCTCCAAAAATTTCTCATTTTGAAATATTTCTGATTCGCAAGTGTCACAAAATTGCTTTGAGAGATGTGGTTCCTTAAGAAAAGCTTTGTTTATTTGCGTCAATTTGAAAATAATAAATATGTATTTAATTTTATTGAACCAAGTGAAGTTTTATGGTTTGTAATTTGGCGGCACCGATTGTAGGTGGAGATGACTGAAAATGTGTTCTGGATATGATGGATTGCTTAAGCGATATGGTATATCTGGTATAATGCAGCAGTTCGTAGATCGCTTAACCGACCAGGTATATGACAGAAGATCGCTTAAGCGATCTGTTATAAGTTTGGTGTATAGCAGCAGATCGCTTAAGTGATCAAGTAAATGGCATAAGATCGCTTAAGCGATTAGGCTTATTTATACCGGATCACTTAAGCGATCTAGTAAACGATATACCAGATCGCTTAAGCGATACACCATATCGCTCAAGTGATTCTGCAGATGCTTTTTAAAATCTTTCAGCCCTTAATACATCAGTTAATAATATTTTTTTTCCTTGCATTATAGGTGCTTGGCTATTATTAGACATGGGACAAGTTGTTTTGGGTGTTGAATATTTTGGTGAATGGGTGGAGGAAGAAAGTTGGAAGTGGATTGGAAAGAGCAAAGAAATACCAATTGCTGTGAGCATAGAGGTTAGTTTTGATGAGTTGATTGATGAAATAATTAGAAGAGGTGATTTGAGTTGCTCACGTAGTGATATAGTTGTGAAGTATGTTTTAAGTAGAGTTCCTGAACATTATAAAGTACCTCCTGCTATATTAAAGTCGGATGAAGGTGTGAAGTTATAAATGATTGATGTGGGCGATAATGGTTCAAGGCCGATTTTAAGGGTTTCTTTTGTATATAAACCGTTGGAAGTTGGTTCAAATGAGAGGATAACGAGGAAGTTGGTGGAGATTTGGCTGGTTTTAATTTAAACTACGAGGGCATTGATTTGTTAGTTGAAAAATCAAGAGTAGGCGGTGATTTGGGTGGTGAGGAGGACACTATAAAAGAGGTTGGTCATGTGCGGCAGAATGAAAATGTTGAGGAGGAGGACCCCGTATATGTTCCCGCAAATGTAGAGATTCCTTTAAATACAGATTATGCAGAAGGTGTAGTTTGTGAGGAAGAGAACACTATGGTCTTTTATGCAGTTCAGAAGGGGCAATTGCGGGTAGTAGTGAATCAGCTCATGTTTTTACGGATAGATCGGAGTTATGCATAGGGTATTTATTTGACAATAAAGAGGAAGTGGTGAGGAAGCTAAAACTTGTTGCCGTGAGAGGTAATTTTGAGTTCATCACCAAAAAGTCTAATTCATCGGTTGTGTCGATTGCATGTTGTGATCGAAAGTGCAAGTGGCAGTTTATTGTAGAAGGTTGGCAGAGTCCGAAAAATTTATTCTTAGCACATATACCTGTGAGCACACATGTGGTTTGGGACATATTTCAGGTGAGCATCGACAAGCCTCCGCTTATGTTATTAGACAATTTGTCAAAAGTCAGTTCGTTGAAAGGAAAGGTCCATCTTGTAAAGACATTTAGAGACTTGTGCGCACAGAGTTGGGATGTGCTGTTCTGGAAATGTTGGAAAGGGAGACAACATGCACAAGATTTTGTGAGGGGCACGCCAGAGCACAAGTACGCAGTATTAGAAGCATACCGTTATATGCTTGAGTTGACAAACCAAGGTAGCAAGACGACTTTGAAGTGGGACAAGAATATAATGTTTAAATATTTTTTTGTTGCTTACAGTTCTGCTATAAGGGGTTTTGTAAACATGAGAAAGGTATTGGCTATTGATGGTTTCTTTTTTATTGGAAAATATGGAGGTACATTGTTGGTGGCCACAACACAGGACAGAGAGAATCACACATTTCCTGTTGCATGGTATGTGGTTGACTCTGAGAATGACAAGTCGTGGACTTGGTTTTTTTAGCAATTACGTACGATAGTGCTTGACAGTGACGAGTTGTGCATAATATCCGATAGGCACAACTCTATAAAGAAGGGGATTGCCACTATTTACCCTCAAGCACATCACGGATTCTGTATGAGGCACCTTGGTGAGAACATAAAGCAAAAGTTTAAGTGTGCTGGCCTCCTTCAAACATACTACATGGCAGCAAAAGCTTATCGAGTTGATGAGTTCGAGGAGCACTTCCAGCAAATCCGAATCAAGGATGATAGAATTGCTAAGTATCTTGAGCATGATGTTGGTTTCGAGCGATGGAGTAGAGCTTACTTTCCTAGAAGAATGTTTGATGTCATGACTACGAACATAGCCGAGTCTATAAATTTGAAGTTATTAATAAAAATAGAGTTTCCAATAGTTGCCCTTTTTGATGCAATCCAGAGGACATTGTCATGGTGGTTCCATGAGCGTCGTACGAAGTCAGATAATTTTACTACAACCCTTGTTCCGTTAGCCAAAAAATTATTGCGAGAACGTATGGAACTGTCAAATACACTGTTTGTCTATCCTCTTAATGCTCAAGAGTTCACTGTGCACGGCTATAGTCCGGATGCCCTAGTTAACCTTGTTAGTAAAACTTGCAGCTGTAAAGTGTTTGACATTCAACGTTTACCTTGTCCTCATGCACTAGCAGCATTAAAACACCAATGGAAGCCGGATTTTGGTTCAAGAATTTTCATGGAACTTTGTTCCCCTCTCTATATGGAAAATCACTACATGTTGGCTTATTCAGAAACGATATATCCAGTTCCTCCAGAAGAGCAGTAGGTAATGCCGCCAGAGTTAGTTGACATTATCATCCATTCGCCATTCAAGAAGACAGAAAATGAGAGAAAAACAGTTAAGCGTATTCCATCAGCCTTTGAGGTTCCCCAGAGGATGAATAAGTGCTCAATTTGCAAGCAACCTGGCCATAAAGAAGCAGTTTCTAGAATCAATCACATGTAGATCTAGAAAATTAGGTTCAATAAAGGATGAAATCAAGAGAGTTGCCAAGCCAACTGTTGAGGAGTTGTTGTTTTCAATTTTTTATGTTTTAAATTTTATTATTACCTTGAATAAATCATCCTTTATATTTAGTATTCTTGTTACATGGCCTTGATGTGTTGATGCAATTAGGTTGTCAAATTCAGGAGAAAGTATGGAATTCATATGTGTTGGTGATTTTAGTTTGTCAAAATTTAGGAGAAAAGCTGGAAAAAAAACGTATTGCCCATGATTGTTTAAGCGACAAAGGGTTTTTTATAAAGGATCGCTTAAGTGAGAAAATAAACTGCTTAAGCGATCGTGCATCTGGATAGAAGTTTATACTGTCATGGACTTGATCACTTAAGCAATTTCTTATCGCTTAAACGATAACATAAATCGCTTAAGCGATCATGCATCTGGGCAGATACTGATTTTCTTGGACTTAATCGCTTAAGCGACCAAGTGTAAAAGCAAAGAATCAGTTAAGCGAGATAGTAAATCACTTTAAGCAATTGTCCAACTGGCAAATCTTGATTCTGGCTTGGACTTGATCGCTTAAGCAATCCATAATCACGTAAGCGACCAAGGATAAAAGCGAAGAATCACTTAAGCGATCGTGCATCTGGGCAGTCTTAATTCTACCTCGGACTTGATCGTTTAAGCGATTATGTATCGTATCGCTTAAACGACCAAGGGTAAAAGCATAAATCGCTTAAACGAGAATGTAAATCACTTAAGCAATCATGCATTTAGGCATATATTGATTCTGCTTTGTACAAGATTGCTTAAGCGACCAAGGGTAAAAGTGAAGCATCGCTTAAGTGATCCTGATCTTAGCTTGTAAGTGATCGCTTATGAGACTTTACGTGATCGCTTAAGCGAACACACTAGATCGCTTAAGCGATCCACTATACTCGGATGAACTTGATTCTACCTTGTACAAGATCACTTAAGCAACCAAGGGTAAAAGTGAAACATCGCTTAAGTGATCCTGATCCTCGCTTGTAAGTGATCGCTTAAGTGACTTAATGTGATCGATTAAGTGACTGACTCTGAACATACTGGATCGCTTAATAGAGACTTGGGATCAGTTAAGTGATCCACTGTACTCGGATGAACTTTATTCTGCCTTTGACAAAATCGTTTAAGCAACTAAGACTAAACACACAAGTTCTCTTAAGCGAAAGAATATATTGCTTAAATGACCAAGGCTAAATAGACGGGATCGCTTAAGCGATAAAGGTAATTTACTTCAATATTTCTTTTCCAAGTTTATGGACCATGTTTAACATGGATGTAAAAGATCTAATTTAATTAAAATATAATTATGGTCATGGTCCACTGAAGAAATCGTACACCATATATGTTTAATATAGACGTAAACATTCTACACCATATATGTTTAATATAGATATAAAAGAACTAATTTAATTTAATATAATTTAATTTAAAGAAAATCAATTAAGTGATATAAATAATCAAATCAATTAACACAAGACAGATCCTGGTCCACTGAACCATATATGATTAATATAGACTTAATTAATTTAATATAATTTAATTTAAAGAAAATCAATTAAGTGATATAAATAATCAAATCAATTAACACAAGACAGATCCTGGTCCACTGACCTAATCGTGCACCATATATGTTTAATATAGACATAAACATTCTACACCATGTATGTTTAATATAGACGTAAAAGAACTAATTTAATTTATAAAAAAATTGATTAAATGATATAAATAATCAAATCAATTGACACAAGACAAATCATGGTCCACTGAACTAATCGTACACCATATATGTTTAATATAGATGTAAACATTCTACATCATGTATGTTTAATATAGACGTAAAAGAACTAATTTAATTTATAAACAAATCAATTAAGT